GTACGCCAAGCTTAGACCCGTGCTCGCCGTTTACTCGTTGTGTCCAGGGGTGGCTCGTCGCATGAAGCGTCCGAAGGCTTTCGGGAAGCAGGATGGCGGGATACTTTCGGCGAGGCATGTGGGCGGGTGGTGAAGGGCGTGTTGTCAGTTACGTTCGGTACTACGTGGCGGTGCGAGGTGCGCGGTTTCTCGTTTTATCATGACGCCGCGGAGAGAGGGATATATATATACATATATATATATATATATATATATATATATATATAAAAAAAAGAGAGAGAGAGAGAGAGAGAAACAAAAAAAGAATGAGAAAGAGAGAAAGGGACATCGAAAGAGAGAGAGAGAGAGAGCGAGACAGAGAGAGAGAGAGAAAGAACGAGAGAAAGAGGACTGGGGGCAGGAGAGAGGGGGGAGGAGCGAGGGAAAGTGAGAAGCGAGGGGCAAGAAATGATAAGAGAGAGAGAGAGAGAGAGACAGAGAGAGGCAAGCATCGAGGAGAGGGTGGCGAGGAGCGAGAGGGGAGGCATGAGAAGAGGCCAGCACACGAATGTCTCAATGGCCTCGGCGCCCGTGTGGCCGAACATTTGGTCTCGCCTTGGGTTGCTCATGAGGTTTTCTTGGGTGGCCGGCGCGGTTCCAAATCTCTCAGAAGGATCTTCCCTTCGGAAGCCTTTTGGAAGCGGTGTTGGGGGTGTTTTGTGGCCTCTCGGGGCCTCTTGGGGCCTGATTTTGGCCTCTTGGCCCTCCTGGGTCTTTTGGGGGCCCGCTGGCTGTCTCGGGGGTCATCTTCTTGGGGCGAAGGGTGTAACATGTCAGTTCGAAATCCCCCTCTGAGGCCCCTCTCGTTTTCTTCTTGGAGTTGTCATAGGCCGTCTTGGGGGCCTCCTCGGCCGTCCTGCGGCCCTCTTAGGCTGTCTGGGGCCCTCTTGGGGGCCTGGTGAGCCGTCCGCGTTGAAACGATGTTGGGGGCCTCTCGGGCCGTCTTGAAGCGTCGGAATCCCGAACGCGCGAGAACGTGAGGGGCCTTCAGTTTCAGGCTGCCGAGGGGTTCTCTGGAGCTGCGTTGGGATACTCTTCGGAGGCCTCTTGGCCAGACCGGGGGGGCGATCTTGGGAGCTGTTGGGCCGTCGTGGACTTTGCAATGCCCCCCAACATCGGGTATACCCGAAATCTTGGGAGGCCCTCCGGACAACTCTTTTCGTCGGCGGCTAGGCAGGGGCCGTCTGCGCCGGCGGACTGAGCTAGACGGGGGCGCCGTTGTAGCGAATTGGCCAGCGCGCAGCTGCAAGAGCGGGAGCGGCACGGGACGGGAGGCCGCAGAAGGGGGGGGGGGGGGGCGTGGCGAGGGCCACACGGGACGGACGGGCCACGTCCCTGTGTGAGCTGGCGCGGCCCGCCCCGCGGCGGGAACAGCAGCAACTGCCGGGCTGCAGCGCCAGTGCACCCGCGACGGCAGGGCCCAGTGCTGGTACCGACGGCAGACGAGGCAGCACGCTGCCGACGTCGAGCACGAGGTGCCGGGCCGGCGGGCCGCGCGCCGCCCAGGTGGGAGGCGCAGTAGAAAGCGCGGCAAGGTAAAGGTGCATGCGGTTGGACCGCATCTCGCAAGATGCGAGGTCAGCGAAGGGGAGCAGGCGGCAAGACCAAGCCCAGTGATCCCGAAGGAGTGGTGGCTGAAGAAGGCGACAGCCCTAGCGCAGTGGCGGCGCGCGGAGGGAGGGAAAGCGAGCGGGGGGGCTGGGGAGGAGGGGCGGGGCAGGGGCGCCCCGCCTGTGGGGAGGATCCCGCGGGCGTGGCGACGGAGCCAGCGGCCCAGCGCCAGCACTGCAGCTGGCAGCGGGCGGCCCTGGCTGCGGCTGTGGAGGCCAAACGCTGTCGGGGCGGGCAGCTCTGGGCCGGTCTAGGGGCACCTAACTGGTGCAATTTCCTGTGTCAAAACTGGGGCCGAAGGCTTACGGGTGCCACGCGCTGTCGGGGTGGACAGTGCATGGCCAGTCTAGGGGCAGCGTGATGGTGCTGTCTCCTGCGATTGCGAGCACAGGGAGGACGGGGGATGGCTTCGAACCTGTGGCCGAAGGCTGACGGCGGCCACGCGCTGTCGGGGTGGACAGTGCATGGCCGGTCCAGGGGCAACGTGATGGTGCTGTATCCTGGAATTGGGAGCACAAGGATGACGGGGCATGGCGGATGAAACAGCGGAGGAAAATGGCGTCGTGCCGGCTGGGGTCGCGGGTGCCGCCGCCACGCCTCCAGAAAACACAATATGTGTTTGCACCGGAAGGCCCTGCTGGGCGTACTCTTGGAGCGCTCTGGGAGCCTCTTGGGAAGTATTGCGGCCGTCTAGAGGCCGTATCGGGTTGTCTTGGGCTCTCTCAGGCCGTCTGGACGCGCCCTCGGCCGTGTCGGAGCCATCTTCGGCGAACTTGGAGTCCTCTTGGACTCGCTTCTTGGACTCGCGGCGGGCCCTCCCGGCAGGCCCCCGCGGGCACTGCCACCACTAGCAACGAGCCACGCGCTACTCCCCGTATTGTAGGGTAGACCAAGTCTGACCCGTGGACTCCGTCTACGAAATCTTCACGAACTGGCACGTGATTATGGACATGCTGCCCCAAGGCTGAAATTACACCGTGGGGCTCGACTCTCGCATTCGGCACATGCTAATGCGTGCTGCTGCTTGCTGCCGCTGTTGCCTATTGCCGGTAATGCTTGCCGCTGCTGCGCGTCGTTGCTGCTTGTGGCTGCAAGATGCTGCTGATGGCCACGTCTGCGTGGTGCGTGCTGCTGCCCGCTAGCTACCTGCTGCTGCTGCTGCTGCTGCTGCTGCTGCTGCTGCTGCTGCTGCTGACCGCTAGCTACCTGCTGCTGCTGCTGCTGCTGCTGCTGCTGCTGCTTGTTGTTGCTGTGTGCTGCCGCTGATGCTGCCTGCTTCGTGTTTCGGGCTGCTCCCGTTCGTAATGGGGGCGCTTTCGGCCGCCCAAGGATGATCTTGAGCCACCTTGAGGCTGTATTAGGGCCAAGGCTGGAAATCAACAAGCAACAGTGTGCCTTCTTGTCCAGCGATGTTCCATGGTGGCTGTGGCCGCACGAGGAGGTCAGAGGATGCGCCTGGGCTGTAGCCCCGGAAAAGTTCGAAGGCACTGCGGAGCAAGACCCCAATGGCCGGCCTGTCTGGACCACCCTCAAGGAGAACTCCCCGACGAGTCGCCCATTCAGACTGGAGCCTGTCCAAAGAAGGGGGGCAACTAAAGGGCGCATGGGCGCCTTATTTTCCTGGGTGGCCGGCGCGGTCTCAGAGCTCTCTAAGGAATCGTCCCTCGGAAGCTTCTTGGAGGAGATTTTGGGGATTACCTTATGTTTCCAAGGGCTCAAAGCCGGCCCTGGCCAGCCCCGGCGCGCTCCAGGCCACCCCCAGCGGGCCCCAAGACAGCCCAAGCGGGCCCCAAGACGGTCAAAGATGGCCCGAGACATATCCAGACGGTCCAAGAGGTCGCCAATATGGCGTTCAGACGGCCCCACAGGGCCGCAAGACGGACCGGGCCCCAAGAGGCAAAAATGATTGATTTCCCATTGGTTTTTGAAGGGTTTCAGTGTTCTCGGCTTTTCGGAATCTCGACGCTGCGAGACGGCTCCAAAGGCCTCCAAGATGGCCCCAAGACGGCCCACGAGGCTCCCGAGAGGGCCACCAGACGGCCCAAGAGGGCCCCAAGACGGCCCGAGAGGCCTCCAAGACCTTCTGGCATGCGGTTCCCCCAGAGCTGTATGGTAGATCAAGTCGGGTTCCAAGTTCGCCTCAAACATCGCGCTGATCAACAACATAGCCTGCTGCCACTGCCCGCCTTTCTCGCACGCGCTGACCCCAGCGTTGTAGCTGACAAGGGCTCCGTACGGCCCTCCAGGGGGCAACCGACGGATGCTACAACAGGGGGGTCCGTTTTAGCATCCGTCGGGGGTCGGCGTCAGACTGTCTGGAGACGATGAGGAAGCCCGGAAGGAGCTCGTGGGCCTCACCGAAAGAAGGCCGTCCGCGCCCGCAGACGTTCCCAGAGAGGTCTAGGACGGCACAATGAGGCGTCAGAAATCTCCCATGAGAGGACAGAGAAGGGCCCTGACGGATACTACAGCAGGGGGGTGCGTTGTAGCATCCGTGGGAGCTTACGAAGGCCCAAAGACGGTCGTTGGGCCGTCTTGTTGCGCTCGTCGGGGCCTTGTGGGCCATCATGGGGTGATCGCGAAAATGCCTGAAGCTGCGTGGGGCCGTCCTGGGCCTGTCGTGGCGAGAGTGTGAGAAACATGGGAAACACACAAAGTGTTTGCTTGATTTCTGGTCTTGTGCATCCGTCTTCGGAATCCTCGTGGGCCCTCTTGGGTCGTACCCGGGGGCCCTTGGGCCATCTTCTAGCCATGAGGGGGGTCTGGGGCCGTCTGGGAGTCTTGCTTGGGCCCTCCTGGGCAATTCTTGGGGCATTACGGGAGGTAACCTGAAACTCTATGAGGCTCGCCGGGGCCTGTGCTGGGCCGTCTTGGGACCCTCGTTGGCCGTCTCGGTAAGTTCGGGAAGGCCTCTTGGGCGATCTCGGCGCAATCGTAGAAAAACCTGGAGCCGTGCGGGGCCGTTCTGGACCCGTCATGGGGAGAATTTTCGCCTCGTCGGGCCGTCATCGGGGTCCACCTGGGCCCTCTTGGGCCGTCCCCGGGGCCTCTTGGGTCGTCCTGGGGCCATGTTGGGCGTCTCGGGCCGTGTTGGAAGTCGCTTTGGTGCCTTGTGGGCAGCTTCGAGGGCACTCTTGGGGCTTCTTGGGGGCCACCGAGAGCTCTATGAGGGTGTCTTGTGCTAACCGTCTGGCGCCGTTCGTGGCCCGAAACGGCGAGAACACGAAAAACCTTCAAAACCACACGGACATCTACAATTTTTGGCCTCGGAAAACCGTCGTCGAGGTCTGGTTGGGCCGTCTTCGGAAGCATTTGGCCCGTCGTCCGGTCGTCTTGGGCTGTCATGGAGTTTAGTTCGGTTTCTCTTGGGACGTCCTCCCGCCGTCCCGAGCGTCTCGGAGCGGTAGTGGGGCTGCCTGAGGCCGTCTCGGAGCCACGTAGGGGTTCTCTGGAGCCGTCTGGAAGCGGCGGGGCGCTCTGGGTGGGCGCTCGGGGGCATCTCGCGACCTTCTCACCCCTTTCGCACGGCGAAGACCAGAATTGTAGTCGCCTCCTGCATCTCGCTGAGTAGCGCGAGCGCCTGCTGCCAGAGGTCGACCTTCCCGCATGACGTTGGGCTCCAGCTTCGCCTCCCGCATTTCGCTGAGTAGCGCCAGCGCCCGCTGCCATGGCTCGTCCGCTGCCCCGCTGCCGAGCTCGCCCACTGCCATAGCTGCCCGCTTCCCACACGCGCTGATCCCAACAGTGTAACTGATGCTGTCGGGCTCCAGATTCGCTTCCCGCATCTCGCTGAACGGATTCCAACTGCGCTTCCCGCATCGCGCTCGGCAGCGCCAGCGCCGGCTGCGACCGCTCGCCCTTCACGCACGCGCTGATCCCAGCGCTATAGCTAATGACGTTCGGATTCAGGCTCCAGCTTCGCCTCCAACACCTCGCTCAGCAGCGCCAAAGCCATCGGCCATTGCTCGTCCTTCTCGCACGCGCTGGTCCCAACGATCCAACTGAACAAACAAATGTGTCGAACACGGCATGCATTGTATCATGCTCCCGTAACTAGGACAAGCACTTCCCTGAATAAAGACAGCACTTGACTCCATTGCCCGCCTTGCTCGCACATGCTGGTGGTAATTCCGTAGACAGAGAAGTCGACAATCAACCTTCTCAAACGCATGGCTCTGAGCACGCTCAGCGCCGGCTGCCACTTCCCACCCGTTACGCACGCGTTGGCTCCAGCGCTGTAGCTGATGCCGTCAGGCTCCAGCTTCACCTCCCGCATCTCGCTCAACAGCGCCAGCGCCCGCTGCCACTGCTCGCCCTTCCCGCACGCACGTGCTCCTGCATTGTAGCTGATAACGTTGGGCTCCAGCTTCACCTCCCTCATCTCGCTCAGCAGCGCCAGGGCCCGCTGCCACTGCCCATCCTTCTCGCACGCGCTGACGCCACCGCTGTAGCTGACGACGTTGGACTCCAGCTTCAGCTCCCGCATCTCGCTCAGCAGCGCCAGCGCCCGCTGCCATTGCTCGCCCTTCTCGCACGCGCTGATCCCAGCGCTGTAGCTGACTAGGGCTGACCCGTGGACTACCGTCCACGAATGCCAGAGGATTGAGCGTGCGCTCGTTGCTGCTTATTGCGTCAGGGTGCGCTGTTTGCTTCATGATCCTGACGGCGTCTGGAGCAGCGCCAGCAGCAGCAGCAGCAGCAGCAGCAGCAGCAGCAGCAGCAGCAGATCCAGCACCATCGGCAAAAGCAGCAGCAGCAGCTGCAGCAGCAGCTCCAGCAAAAACAGAAGCAACGCGGACCTCCGGGGGCCTCCCGGGGGCCTTCTCGTCCTCGTCCTCCTCGTCCTCGTCCTCGTCCTCGTCCTCGTCGTCGTCGTGGTCGTCGTCGTGGTCGTTCTCGTCGTCGTCGTCGTCGGCGTCGTCGCTGCTGTCGTCGTCGTCGTCGTCGTCGTCGTCGTCGTCGTCGTCGTCGTCGTCGTCGTCGTCGTCGTCGTCGTCGTCTTGGTCGTCTTGGTCGTCGCCGTCGTCGTCGTCGTCGTCGTCGTCGTCGTCGTCGCCGTCGTCGTCGTCGTCGTCGTCGTCGTCGTCGTCGTCGTCGTCGTCGTCGTCGTCGTCGTCGTCGTCGTTGCCGTCCTCCTCGTCCTCATGCTCCTCCTCCCCTCCTCTCGCCCTCCGCCTCCGTCTTATCCCCTTCCTCCTGTCCAGCCTGCTGCTTGCCGTGCCAGCAGTGCCGCGTGCTGTAGCAGGCTGTTCCCAGCGGAGGCATCGGGGAAGCGGCGGGGGGGCCCTCCGATACCCGGGAGGGGGTCCTCGTGGGGCTCTGTGGGAGCCTCTGGAAAGTCTGGAGAGCCTCTGGGAGCCTCCCGAGGGCTCTTGGGAGCGCCTCGGAAGCCTTCTGGGAGCCTTCGGAGAGCGCCCGGGGGCCTCGTGGGAGCGCCTCCAGGGCCTTCTGGGGGCCTCTCGGGGGCGTCTTGGAGCCTGGCTGGTCGTGGAGGGGCCCGCCCGGAGGGAGGGGAAGCGCTCCGAACTGGACCCTCTTGGGCGTCCCGGGGCCGTCTGTGGGGGGTTCTTGGGCCGTCTTGGGGGCCCAGCTCGATCGGGGGCCTCTGGGGCCGTCTTGGGGACTCTCTTGGAGGCCCCCCGGGCAGCATGGGCCCGATTTCGGACGCCCGCGGTGCCGTGGTGGGCGTCTTGGGGCGGGTGGGAGGAGCACCACCGGAAACGTCAAAAACCATCGAAAATATCGATAGTTTTGCGGCCTTGGGGCCCTCGTGGGGGTCCCCTGGGAGCTCCGTGGACGCTCCTGCAGAGTGCTTCCGTGGATCTCCGGTCCTCCTGGACCCCCCGGGCAGGTCTGTCCTGCGAGTCCGACGCGAAAAAAGAAGCCCCCACGACGGCCAAAGAGGGCCCCGAGACACCCAAAGATCGGCCCAAGACGCCCAATATGGGCCCAAGACTGCCTAAGAGGCCTCCCCCAGAGACCCCCAAGAGGCCTCCCAAGAGAGCCCCGAGAGGCTAAAATGGTTGATTTTCCTGTGTTTTTCGATGTTTTTGGCCTTCTCGTTTTTTCCGCTTCCCCACGCTCCAACACGGCCCAAGAGGCTCCCTAGATCGCCCCAGTACTGCCCAAGAGGCCCCCAAAAAGGCCCCAACACGGTCCAGGAGGGCTCCAAGACCGCCCAAGAGGCGCCCCAGGCGGCCCAAGAGAGCACCAAGACGGCCCCAAGAGAGGCCCAAGAGGGCTCCCAAACATTCAGAACTTCAGTTTTCCGCCGCGAGCGGGCCCCGAGAGGCCCCAAGAGGGCCCCACGAGGCCCCATGAGGCTCCCCAGAGGCCCCAAGGAGCCCCCAAGAGGCCCCCAAGAGGCCCCAAAAAGATCCCAAGAGGCCCACAAACAGCCCCCAAGAGGCTTCAAAACTGCCTCCCAGAGGCCCCCGAGAGGCGTACCACGAGATCCCAACACAGCGGTCTCCCCCTCTCATTATCCCTTCTCTTTGTCGTCGCCTTCTTCGTCGTCGTCGTTGTCGTCGTCCCCATCCTCTTCCTCGTCTTCATCCTCCTCCCCCAGCTAGCAAACGAAGCAAGGGGAAAAGGATGAGGAAGAAGCAGTAGTCGAACCCGTTTCGCTTTGGATTTCCTCGCAACTCCGACTGCGGAAGTGCATTGCTCCATAGCGTTCCCGCTCTCTTCGCCTGAGACATTCTTGCAGACCTTCCGAGATGCGCATGTGCATGCGCGCCCAGGGCTGCGCAAACGAATTGCGTATACGTGTACAGACCCTTGCACGCGGAGTGCGTGCAAGCTAGCGGAGTGCGTGCGTGCGTGCTTGCGCGCGCATCTGCGCCCATACGTACACGTTGCATTTGTGAATATGAATGTACGCGTGCAAGGGTCTGTACACGTGTACGCAAATCGTTTGCGCAGCCCTGGGCGCGCATGCACATGCGCATCTCGGAAGGTCTGCAAGAATGTCTCAGGCGAAGAAAGCGGGAACGCTATGGAGCAATGCACTTCCGACGTCGGAGTTGCGAGGAAATCCAAAGCGAAGCGGGTTCGACTACTGCTTCTTCCTCATCCTTTTCCCCTTGCTTCGTTTGCTAGCTGGGTGGTGATCGTTGCTTCTCCTCCGCGCTCCTTTATCTGCTCCTCGTTCTATTTGTCCTCGTATTCTTCGGTGCCCGTTTCTTTTCCCCCCTTCCTCCTGCTTCTCCTCCTGTTTCTCCTCCCCAGTCCCGTGCCGATTGAGCTGAACCGGAAGAGCTGAAGAGGATGAGGAGAAGGAGGAGGAGGAGGAGGAGGAGGAGGAGGAGGAAGAGGATGGGGACGACGACAACGACGACGACGAAGAAGGCGACGACAAAGAGAAGGGATAATGAGAGGGGGAGACCGCTGTGTTGGGATCTCGTGGTACGCCTCTCGGGGGCCTCTGGGAGGCAGTTTTGAAGCCTCTTGGGGGCTGTTGTGGGCCTCTTGGGATCTTTTTGGGGCCTCTTGGGGGCTCATTGGGGCCTCTGGGGAGCCTCTTGGGGCCTCATGGGGCCCTCTTGGGGCCTCTCGGGGCCCGCTCGCGGCGGAAAACTTAAGTTTTGAATTTTTGGGCGCCCTCTTGGGCCTCTCTTGGGGCCGTCTTGGTGCTCTCTTGGGCCGCCTTGGGCGCCTCTTGGGCGGTCTTGGAGCCCTCCTGGACCGTGTTGGGGCCTTCTTGGGGGCCTCTTGGGCAGCACTGGGGCGATCTAGGGAGCCTCTTGGGCCGTGTTGGAGCGTGGGGAAGCGGAAAAAGCGAGAAGGCCAAACACATCGAAAAACACACAGGAAAAATCAACCATTTTAGCCTCTCGGGGCTCTCTTGGGAGGCCTCTTGGGCGTCTCTTGGGGCGCCTTGTAGGCCTCTTGGGCAGTCTTGGGCCCATATTGGGCGTCTTGGGCCGATCTTTGGGTGTCTCGGGGCCCTCTTTGGCCGTCGTGGGGGCTTCTTTTTTCGCGTCGGACTCGCAGGACAGACCTGCCTGGGGGGGTCCAGGAGGACCGGAGATCCACGGAAGCTCTCTGCAGGAGCGCCCCAGAGGCTCGGGGAGGCCGAAATTCGTTTGGGGGGGGGGCACCGTGTGCCGCTTTTCCGGGGTCCCCGGCCCTGTAAAAATATATAATTAGGAATATGTGTGTGTGTATATATATATATATATATATAAATATCGCTGAGCTGCGGGGGCGCCAACTAGCGCTGCTCGCCCGTCTGGGAGCCCCAAACGAGCCCCCAACGACACCGACGGCGGCGGCGGCGGCGACGACGACGACGACGACGACGACGACTACGACGACGACGGCGACGACGACGGCGACGACGGCGACGACGGCGACGACGACGACGACGACGGCGGCCACGGGCTGTAAGGCTAGGCTGGCCCGACTCAGGGCCACCAGCCCGCCGGCCGAGTCGGCGGCCGCCGATTCTGGGCACCCCCGGCGCCCCCTGGCCCGCCGTCGCAGAGTCCGCCCAGACCTTCTGGCGTCGTGAAAAAAATCACGACGGGAGGCGTTCCGCTATTTTCGGCCTCGGGGGGCCCTCACCGGGCCCGGGACCGTCAAAAACCGACTCGGGATGAGAAACCGGTCCCGGGGAAGGGGTCCAGACCTCTGGGGGTCGACGTTGTGAAAAAATCACGACGTCGGAGGTCTGGGCTGCCCCTCGCCCCCAGCGCCGCAGCCGATTTGGGGCCCCCGACCCGCCGGCCTAAAGAATCGGCGGGGCCGACTCTGGGCCGCCACGCCGCCGGCCCAGAATCTCCTGCCCGGCGCGCGCTGGGGCCGCCGCGCGCGCTTTCTTCGGGTCGGCCCGGACCTGGCCCGCAGGCCCGCCGGCCCAGGATCGTTGGAGGCCTGGAAATTGGCACCAACACCAACACAGGGGGCTGCCTCCACAGGGGGAAGACGATCCTAGGTTTCGGTGTTGGCGGTACTAGTTCGGCCACCTTGGAAGCCAGAGTATTACCACCATCGCCGAGATCGGGATCTTCTTCCCTCGGTGGATGCACACCGCCGATATTGGCGTTGGTGTCAATCTCTGGGCCTGCGAAATCGGCATCGGCGGGACCACTTCTGGGCCGCCGCGCCACCAGCCAAGAATCCCGCCCAGCGCGCCCTGGGCCGATCCTCGCGCCTCCGGGGCGGGCCTCTGCCCGTTTCTGGGCCGCCGCGCCGCCGGCCCAGAATCCCGCCATGGCGCGCCCTCGGCGGCCGCGTGAATTTTTGTCGCAACGTCGACCTCCAGAGGTCTGGACCCCTTCCCCGGGACCGGCTTTTCGTCCTGAGTCGTTTTTTGACGGTCCCGAGGCCCGGCAAGGGCCCCCGGAGGCCGAAAATTGCGGAAAGCCTCCCGTCGTGATTTTTTCACGACGCGAGGAGGTCTGGGCCCCCAGCGCCACAGCCGCTTTGGGGCTCCCGACCCGCCGGCCGAGAAGCGGCGGGGCCGACTCTGGGCCGCCACGCCGCCGGCCCAGCATCCTGCCCGGCCCGCCCTGGGCCCGCCGCGCACGCTTTCTTCGAGTCGGCCCGGGACGATGCTGGCCCGCAGGCCCGCCAGCCCAGAATCGGCACCGGCGGGACCACTTCTGGGCCGCCGCGCCACCAGCCAAGAATCCCGCCCAGCGCGCCCTGGGCCGATCCTCGCGCCTCCGGGGCGGGCCCGGCGCGCCCTGGGCGGCCGCGCGCGCTTCCAGGGTCGGCCGGGGCGATTCTGGGCCACCAGCCTTCCAGCCCCGAATCGGCGGGCCGACTCTGGGCCGCCGCGCCGCCAGCTTCGAAATCCGCCCGGCACGTCCCGGGACGGCGCGGGCGCCTCCAAGGCGGCCCATATATAGCCGATTCTGGCCCACCGGCCCGCTGGCCCAAAGTCGGCCAGGTTCTGCCACCGGCCCATGGTGTGCTTGGAGCCGTTTTGGGGCCGTCTTCAGGCCGTCTCAGGCCGTCTTTGGCTGCTGTTGGTGCTGTCTTCGGTGCTGCTTGGGCCGTGATTTTGGTGCCTCGAGGGGCTCGTTTGGGAGCCTTTCAGCGCTTCTCTTCGGCCTCCTGGAAGCCTCCTGGAGCCCTCTTGGGCTGTCTCGGGTGCCTCTTGCGCCGTGTGGAGGCTGTGTGGAGGCCGTCCGGGGCCGTCTGGGGGTTACATCTCTGGGGCCGTCTTGGGCGTCTCTGGAGCTATCTTAAGGGCCGCAATGGGCGCCTCAAGAGCTGTGGTGTGGCCGTTGTAAGGCGTTCTGGGGGCTCTGAGGGCCCTCTTGGGCCGTCTTGGTTTGCCTCTTGGGTGGTTGTCTTGGGGCCGTCTGGCCCGTCTTGGGCACCTCTTGGGGCGTCCTGGGGTCGTCTTGGGCCGTCTTGGGGCCCTCATGGGGGCATCTTCGGGCGATATGGGGCCTCTATGGCTGTCGTGGGCGCGTTGGAAACGAAAAGCACGAAATGCCCAAAAGATGCGCTTTCCAAAGGGAATGGGACAATTTTGGCCTGTTGGGGCTCTCCTGGGAGGTCCTCCAGGGCCGTCTTGGAAGCCTCCTGGCCTGCCTTGGGCGCTTCTGGGGCCGTCGAGGCGGCCTCTTGAGCGGCTCGGAGCCGTCTGGGGGCTCTCCGGGGCTCGCAGGGGCCGCCGGGGCGCTGACTGCGCTTTCCCCGTGGCCCGCCTTTCCCGCACGCGGGGGCCCCTGCATTGCGGTAGAGATGACGTCGGGCTCCAGCTTCACCTCCCACATCTCGCTCAGCAGCGCAAGCGCCCGCTGCCACTGATCGCCCTTCTCGCACGCGCTGATCCCAGCGCTGCAGCTGATGACGTTGGCCTCCAGCTTCACCTCCCACATCTCGCTCAGCAGCGCCAGCGCTGGCTGCCACTGCTCGCCTTTCTCGCACGCGCTGATCCCAGCGCTGTAGCTGACTAGGGCAGACCTGTGGACTCCGTCCACGACATCAGCTCGACGTGGCGAGGGGTCTCTGGGCAAGCGCGGGGGGGTGCGGCTGCAGGGCCGAAAGGCAATCAGCTGCTGCTGCTGCTCGGAGGTCCTGCTGCTTCCTCCCTCCTCCTTCTCCTCCTCCTCCTCCGCCTCCTCCTCCTCCTCCTCATCCTCTTCCACCTGCTTCTCCTCTTTCGCTGGATTCTCCATGCCCTCGGTCGGCAATCGTCGATCCTACGACGACTCTCCCCAACAGAGAAACATCGAAGTCCCTCGGAGCGTCCAACATTGTCCTTTTGTGCCTTCGATATGCCGGTCGCCTCTCGTCCGCTCCCCCCCTCCTGGAAGCAATTCTGAGGCCACTTAGGGCTTCGTGGGGGCCGTTTGGGGATCTCTTGGGGCGTTTTTGCCTGCGATATGCCTGTCGCCTCTCGTCCGCTCCCCCGCTCCTGGAGGGAATTCTGAGGCCACTGAAGGCTTCGTGGGGGCCGTTTCGGAGCCTCTTCGGCCTTCTTTTGGGCCTCCCGGGGGCTCTTAGGGCCCTCTCGGGCCGTCTTGGGTGCCTCTTGGGCCGTCTCGGGGCCGTCTGAGGCCCGCCTCGGTGCCTCTTGGGCTGTCTTGGGCCGTCTTGGGCCGCTCCTGGGGCCGTCTTGGGTGCCTCTTGGGCCGTCTGGGGCGCCTCCTGGGCCGTCCTGGGGCCGTCCTGGGGCGTCTTGGGACCGTCTTGGGGCCCTCCTGGCCCGTCTTGGGGCTCTCTTGGGGTCCTCTTCGGCCGTCTTGGGCGGTCGGGGGGACTTCTTGGGCCGTCTTGGAGCGTCGGGAAGCCGAAGAGGCGAGGAGGCCGAAAACATAGAAAAACACAATAGAAATCGACGATTTCTGTCGCTCGGGGCCCTCTTGGGAGGCCTCTTGGGAGGCCTCTTCGGGCGTCTTGGACGCCTCTTGGGCCGTCTGGGGCGAATCTCGGGCGTCTTGGGCCCATCTGTAAGCGTGCCGGGGCTCTCCGGGGCCGTCTTGGGGGCTTCTGGGGGCCCTCTCGACATGTCCTGGAGCCTGCCTGGGCGGCCCGGGGCGGCCCGGGGCCAGCCCGGGGCGGTTTCGGTGCATTGGGGCCTGCGCCCTTCTGGCACGCACTGGGCCCTGCAATGTAGTAGAGACTAGGGCAGACCTGTGGACTCCGTCCACGACATCAGCTCGACGTGGCGAGGGGTCTCTGGGCAAGCGCGGGGGGGTGCGGCTGCAGGGCCGAAAGGCAATCAGCTGCTGCTGCTGCTCGGAGGTCCTGCTGCTTCCTCCCCCTCCTCCTCCTCCTCCTCCTCCTCCTCCGCCTCCTCCTCCTCCTCCTCCTCCTCCTCCTCTTCCACCTGCTTCTCCTCTTTCGCTGGATTCTCCATGCCCTCGGTCGGCAATCGTCGATCCTACGACGACTCTCCCCAACAGAGAAACATCGAAGGCCCTCGGAGCGTCCAACATTGTTCTTTTGTGCCTTCGATATGCCGGTCGCCTCTCGTCCGCTCCCCCCCTCCTGGAAGCAATTCTGAGGCCACTTAGGGCTTCGTGGGGGCCGTTTGGGGATCTCTTGGGGCGTTTTTGCCTGCGATATGCCTGTCGCCTCTCGTCCGCTCCCCCGCTCCTGGAGGGAATTCTGAAGGCCACTGAAGGCTTCGTGGGGGCCGTTTCGGAGCCTCTTCGGCCTTCTTTTGGGCCTCCCGGGGGCTCTTAGGGCCCTCTCGGGCCGTCTTGGGTGCCTCTTGGGCCGTCTCGGGGCCGCCTGAGGCCCGCCTCGGTGCCTCTTGAGCTGTCTTGGGCCGTCTTGGGCCGCTCCTGGGGCCGTCTTGGGTGCCTCTTGGGCCGTCTTGGGCGCCTCCTGGGCCGTCCTGGGGCCGTCCTGGGCCGCCGTGGGGCCGTCTTGGGGGCCCTCTTGGCCCGTCTTGGGGCTGTCTTGGGGTCCCCTTCGGCCGTCTTGGAGCGGTCTGGGGGAGCTCTTGGCCCGTCTTGGAGCGTCGGGGTGCCGAAAAGGCGAGGAGGCCGAAACCATCGAAAAACACAATGGAAATCGACGGTTTCTACCGCTCGGGGCCCTCTTGGGAGGCCTCTGGGGAAGCCTCTTGGGGCGTCTTGGAGGCTTCTTGGGCCGTCTTGGGCCAATCTTGAGCGTCTTGGGCCCATCTTGGAGCGTGCCGGGGCCCTCCGGAGCCTTCTTGGGGGCCTCTTGGGGCTTCCTTGGCGCGTCTTGGGGCCTCCCGGGGCGGCCCGGGGCCAGCCCGGGGCGGTTTCGGTGCATTGGGGCCTGCGCCCTTCTGGCACGCACTGGGCCCTGCAATGTAGTAGAGACTAGGGCTGACCCGTGGACTCCGTCCACGACATCTTTCTGGAATGGTTCTCGGAGGAACGGCGCAGATTGTACCGAAAATCTACAAACACGGCGGCGGCTCGGGCGGCGGCAGCGAGACCGCGCCTTCGTGTCCGAGCTCTTGCAGCGCTGCAGCAGCTTGGCCCAGCGCACTGCTCGTTCACCCCCCTCCTATTGAGGACAGTTTCGAAGTCTCTCGGGGATGTGCGTCGAAGTCGAAGCCCATCTGAGGCGTCTCAGGAGCGCTCGGGGAAGGGCTCGGGAGGCCATCGGGGAAAGCCACCGAAAGCGCCGGGGAGGCTCGCAAGGATCTACAGGGAGGGCCCAAGAGAGCTTCAAGAAAATTTGAAATCCAGTGAACTCTTAAGAGAAACCGCTGTTGGGTCGGCCATCACCTCCGGGCGCGCCTTGATGGTGCGATCCAGTCGCATCACCGCCAACGGGAGGGTTTGTTCGCCATGTCCCATTCTGTTCGCCCAGAGGGTCTGTGGAGGCCTTCGGGCGAACAGAACGGGACAGGGCAAGGAATGGGGAAGACATGTCCGAATCTCCTGGGCCCCCCAGATGCTCGTCCGAAGAATGCGGAGAGGTCCCAGGGTCATATCAATTGGCTGCTGTCCCAGGGGTCCGGTCTGCTTGGCCCGAAGAGTTTGCCGAGGCCCCTGGGGGAACAGAATGGCACAGCATATCGGGCAAAGGGGGGCGGTAGCTGGCCTGTCAGACCCGGCGTTCGTCTTCTGCCCAAGCGGCGCGGGGCCCACGGGCCCCAGGGTTGGCGTCCCGCTGGGATTCCTCTTGTTCGCCCACAGGGTTGGAGGAGGCCTCCAGGCGAACAGAATGGGGCAGGACAATGAATGTGGGAGACTTGTCGCAAGCTCCCAGCCCCCCCAAGTGTGCGCCCGAAGGGTGTGGGGCCGCGTTGGCTCCCTCAAAGGGCCGTCTTGGAGCCGTCTAGGCCCGTCTTGAGGGCGCCGTTTGCCCTGATGGGGCCGTCTTGGTTCGTCGTGGGCCCCTCATGGGCGCGTCCGTAGGCCGTCCTGGGCCCATCGGGGTCCTCGTGGGGCTGTCTTGGAGCCGTCTGGGACCGTGAGGAGGCCGCCTTGGAGTCGTCTTGGGCCCCTCCTGTGCGCCTCCTTGGGCCGTCCTGGGCCCAGCAAGGGCCGTGTTGGCACCCTCTTGGGGCTGTCTTGGAGCCGTCTTGAGCCGTCGCAGCGCGCCTTGGGTTGTGCTGGGTCCGTCTTGGCCCGTCTTGGGGCCTTCCTGGGCGGTTCCTCGGACCCTCCTGGGACTTTCTGGGGCCTCTTGGTGCATCGGACCGCCGAAACGGCGGGAAACGCAAAGGGTGTAACAGTAAACAATGGAAAATTAACGATTTTTGCCAGCTGGGACTCTCTTGCCATCTTGGCCCGTCTTGAGGCCCCGAACGGGCGCGTCCTTGGGCCGTCCTGGGCGCACCCTCCTGGGACCGTCTTGGAATCGTCTTGGGCCGTCTTGAGCGCGCCTTGGGCCGTCCTGGGCCGGTCTGGGGCCGTGTTGGCACCCTCGCGGCGAGGAAGCTCGGAGGCGGGCTCGAGGCCTCTTCGGGGCCATTTTGGAAGCTGTTGGGGCCTCTGTAGGGGCCTCGTTTGGGCTCCTTGGGAGCCTCCTGGGGCCTCTTCGGGGGATTCTTGGCGGCCCCTTGGGGCCTCTTGGGGGCCTGTTTGGGCCTCCTGGCGCCCTCTTGGGGCGGAAGGCTCGGATTTTCGGTCCGTGGTCCCCCTCTTGGCCCCCTCTTGGGCCTGTCTTCGGGCCCTCGTGGGCCGTCTTGAGCGTCTCTTGGGTCGTCTTGGGGCCCTCTTGGGCTGTCTTGGGGCGCTCTTGGAAACCTCTTGGGCCGTTCTGGGGCGCTCTTGGAGGCCTCTTGGGCCGTCTTCGAGCGTCGGAAAGCGGAAAAGGCGAGAAGGCCAAAATCCTTCCAAAACCGTCGTAAAGCGGACGATTTTGAAGCCCAAAACCGTCCAAAACCTCCTGAGGCGGTCCCCTCGTCCGCCCCCCTCGCTTCGAAGCAGTTTTTAAGCCCCGTGGCACCTCTTGGGGATCTCTTTCGGGCTCCTGGGGGCCTCTTGGGCCTCCACTGGATTCGCTGCCCTCGGTCGGCAATCGTCGATCCTCGAAGGCCCTCGGAGCGTCCAACATTGTTCTTTTGTGCATTCGATATGCCGGTCGCCTCTCGTCCGCTCCCCCCCTCCTGGAAGCAATTCTGAGGCCACTTAGGGCTTCGTGGGGGCCGTTTGGGGATCTCTTGGGGTGTTTTTGCCTGCGATATGCCTGTCGCCTCTCGTCCGCTCCCCCGCTCCTGGAGGGAATTCTGAAGGCACTGAAGGCTTCGCGGGGGCCGTTTCGGAGCCTCTTCGGCCTTTTTTGGGGCCTCCAGGGGGGGCTCTTAGGGCCCTCTCGGGCCGTCTTGGGTGCCTCTTGGGCCGTCTTGGGGCCGTCTGAGACCCGCCTCGGCGCCTCTTGGGCTAACTTGGGCCGTCTTGGGCCGCTCCTGGGGCCGTCTTGGATGCCTCTTGGGCCGTCTTGGGCGCCTCCTGGGCCGTCCTGGGGCCGTCCTGGGGCGTCTTGGGACCGTCTGGGGGCCCTCCTGGCCCG